CCCAGCCAGCATGGCTGGCTGGGGAATTCTGGGAGTTGAAGTCCATACGTCTTCAAGTGGCCAAGGTTGAGAAACTGGTCCAGAGTCATGGGGGCATTGTCTCTCCATCTTCTGTATTGGTCTTCAAGGACAGCTGAGGGGACGGCATGGCATCGTGCCAGAGTAATGGCCCTCCGTGGTTAGGTACTTCGAGTTTAGTTAAGGATCCCATAGAGTACCTGTTGGATTCGCTGGCAATCAAGGTTGGGCACCTGGCTAGATCCAACTGGCACTCTGTGTTTGCTACATGCTGTTTAATGAGCGCTTTGGCCTGATCATGTCCCATGCTGAGTAGAAGACTTGGAGAGAAGCCCAAGGAGGAGATTTTCATTGCTCCTGCCTGTTTCCATGTGGACTGGAAACCATCCTTCGCCCTAACCCTAAATTACTCTCTTTCATGTTTGTAAGAAATTAAATTGTCAGGCCAGGGGAGGAAGAGACCTGATGATACGGTTTTTAACTCCAGTCCTGTTTCTACGGTTTGGAGTGTTCTCACGCACACAGGCCTAAGTGTGTTTGGGCAGACGTGCCCGCATTTGCCACGTACTCCCAAGGTGGGGGCATATAAATATGACCTAGAAATAAATACGTTTCCAATAGAGGTGAATATGTGTTACCTAGCTGGGTAATGAAACGCTTGCAAGAAAAGAACCAAGCTCAGAGAACCCCAAGGACTCCACAAATACGCTTCCTTTCCTGCACGTTGCCCCTGCTGAGTTGGATGGCGCTGGCGTTGGAAATGGCGGCATGGACGCTTTCAGCTTTGGCCTGGACCCAACATGGAAGTCAGTCGGTGATTCATTCTCGCACTTGCTCGGGTGAAATTAAGCACGAGGCGACCCCGCTGGGGATCTTCCTTGGAATCAAGTTTGCGTACTTTCCTCTGCTCCCTGCACCGTGTTTAATACCGTGCGGTGGATATTCAAAAGTCCTATTTTGGGGAGCAAAGATGCTGCTCTGGCACAATTTATGTGGGGTCGTTTCAGGGCAGCGATTGAGGGATTCCTGGTCAACCTTTTCTTCCTGCTCAGTGTCACCCACCAGCAGCCCCGTCGGTCTCCTGAATATCTGGGGGCGGGGGGGGGGTGAACCCTTAACTGGCTGTTGGTTGATTTGGCCTTAATTTTCCTTATCGACCACATCCTCCTCCTCCCGACAGGACAGTCGGTCTCCCAGGAGAGTGATCGGCCTGTAGAGAAACTTCCGAGTGCCAAGGGCAGTGGGGTTCACACCTGCTAGCCACGAATGTGCCACAAGACAAATGGCTTCTTGCAGGGGGCTCGGGGATGATCCTAGAAAAATGACTGTGACTATGTTCCCCCCTTGGGCTTTTTGAAATACCAGTGTTTTCTTCTCTGCCATGTGTGTGTGTGTGTGTGGTGATGGTGGAGGGGAGCAGTTGTGCTAAACAGACCCCTCTTCCGGAGAAAGACTTTCTGCTGTCACTTCTTTCTCAGTCTCCTTTAGAACTGAGGGTGACAGGAGTGAATC